GATTTTAAAATACGAAATAAGTTTTTACTTAGAAAATATTGATCACTTCTTGTAATTAATCTTAGCTATTCCGTTTCTGTCAACATCTGGTTTAAATTTCCGGATAAATATTTCTTGAAATCATAAATATCTCTGAAACCGCTTACTTGATGGAAAAAGCTGAGGTGATCGAACTTACTCCAAATTCAATACCAAATCAAATAGATACACGATATTTGTAAGTTGTTGCTGCAAAAAAATGAAACACAGCGCCACAAAGTGGGGCTGAATAACCAAAAAGCGAAAAAAATCAATATCTTCGAGAACACATTAAAATATAAACCTGGGATCGGTCTTTTCTACCCAGAACAAAAAAAAAACATCAGTTCGAAAGTTTTTATTGGAATTTAGATGGTAGCAAAGATCGTACGTTTAAACAAGCTACACTAAGATAATCCATCCTGTTTATTAATATTTATTAAATTATCCCAAATATTCTCTCAAAATCTATTTCCAATTCTAAAAAATTCTTATATTCTACAACTGAATAAGTAGAAGTTTAAAAAAGGTAAGACCTTCCAAAGCACAAAAAATTAACAGTCACTGTGGGCACGGACCAACTGCACTAGCCCACAACAATTGATTATTTGATATTATATGTGCAAAAATAAAAAATAAAAAAATTGAAAATGCTACAATCACAATGACAAGATGAAGCGCAAAAAAAAAAGGAAAATATACCAGCAGTTCAGGACGAACAACTTATTTGTAAACAATTAACTCTAATAATTACATATTGTTCAATGATATTCCAATAAATAAATGTATGAAAAAGCAAAAACAAAATAACCTCAATAAATTAAATATTTGAAGTGGTAGCCTAAACTGCGCTGTCCCACAGAAATAAGAAGAATCGTAAATAAGTTTGTATAGAGCAGATAATCTGAATACGAAATAAGAAAAATTCAATAATATTTCACTTCACACAGTTTCAATATCACTTAACTTCTTAATCTTACTAATTATATCTTTGTCATTTAACTTGACATATATATTTCCATTGTTTGACCATAATCTTCCATTTTTCTTAATTTTCTCCACCGCCGCTTTGAAAAGTTTCAGTGTTTCAGGNTTCTTAATCTTACTAATGATATCTTTGTCATTTAACTTGACATATATATTTCCATTGTTTGACCATAATCTTCCATTTTTCTTAATTTTCTCCACCGCCGCTTTAAAAAGTTTCAGTGTTTCAGGAGACAAATCTTCTCTAATTACCATGCCCATTCCTTTCAACAGCTTCTTTTTATTATATACCAATTGTTTAATAGAAACCGTAGAGAACTGGGTCATGATTGGTTCAATATTGTTTCTGTCCGGAATTTTCATGCGGAAACAATTATCAATACTCATCAGATCAAGTCTTATATTGAGTTTATTATTGATTATACCCAGAATAGTGTCCATGCAGTTTTCATTGTCACTTTCTTGAACGCCATAGAATATGACATTTCTAGATCTTCGGATTCGATCACATGATTCTTGGTTAGCAACTAGAGTTTTTATTTGATGTTCTTGATTTCGCAAAACTTTTGTGAGTTCATTATTTTGTTTCTTGAGCACATCTATTTCTTTATCATACTTCTTTGTGATTACATCCATGATAGAATCGGACAGGAGTGTTATAAACTCGTTAGATGAAACAAGTTTGTTGACTACAGCTTTAATGGTTGTGTGCAGTTCGTCCTCTCCCTTGTTGGTTCTAGTTTTCGACATGATGCAAAAATAGTTGCAACTTCTAACTAGTACGTGCAGTTTAGAGTTGAAATGACACTAACAACTTGTAATTTAACACTTACTTGTATGGCAAGATGATTTTCCAATTTGTTATTGCACTTTTTGATAGTTTGTTTGCCTTTTCTGTGGAGCTATGCTACAACACGTCTACTCACTATGAAACATCGACACACACATTGTTAGTATCCACACTCATCTTCGGGTGATGACTAGAATGGATATTCGTATACATCCTGTGTCACAGGATGTGGCACAGTTCGTTGCAAGTATAGTATGTAAGAAAACTTTTAATGATGATGAGTATTTCACAAGATGTCCCACCCAATGACGCAGGTCATTAATTCAATATAAATTCGTGAATATTCAGAGAACCCCACCAACTAAGATTTTCCTTCTGTCATATTTCTACGCACACCAACAATGTGAACCCTACTTTCAGAGATAATAGAAATCAGTGATTTCTAGGTAATCAACTCTTTCGTTGTCGAATGAAATGTTCGCCAATTCTCTAATTTTTTATGAACTGCCGCTACGGTGAAATAGAAAAATTATATAGAAAATGACAGCATCACTTGAGCCAAAATTCAGTGATGAATGATAGATGTTTCATTAAAAACGGAAAGTTCGAACCAAGGATCAGCGGATTTACCTTCAACATCATTTTTATATTTCCAAATTTTCATAATCGCTTTTGTATACATGAATACAACTTGCAGTATTGATTGAGCTAACTTGTGATAATAATAATAATAGCTTTATTGTCCAACAGTTACCCATTTACAGGACAATATTACATTTGATTCATAATACTTAACCATAAACGGAAAATAAAATGAACAAAAACTAATTCTAATTTCCTACTTCAAGTACACGTTAGCAATTCTGAAAATGTTATGAAGGTTGGTGAAGAATAAATCACCATGGGTACAAATGCTATTGAAAATTGTGCACATAACATATATTGGGGAATTGAGCATGATGGTAGTTCTTGCTCTGAGAGGTCTAGAAATGGATTGAGATCGTGAAGCTGGCCGTGGTACATTGAAGTTAATTTGTTCAAGAATTTGAGGACAGTCGTCAACTCTCTCATTCACTAACTTGAATAAAAATATGAGCGACGCACATTTTCTGCGATGCTGTAAACTAAAAAGTTCCAAACGTTTATATATGACATCATTACTGATACCTCTCTCAGGGTAAGAACCATCTATTCTGAAAATTAGAAATTTACAAAACTTTCTTTGAACTCGTTCAATGGATATGTTATGAATCTCATAGAGTGATGCACTGTTTGGAACCTTTGGTGTAGTTTTTTCCCAACACCGAACCGTTATTTCAACATCTCGACACGTGTTTCGATAACCAAGTGATCATCTTCAAGAGGAAGATTAAACTAAATATACTCACACACTGTTATCCTTATTTAAAACATAGATACCTCTTCTAGGTACCTGCGTCTAGAGTGTCTCAAATTCATTTCACAATATTGCCTTATCTGTTAGTCATAAATCAATTTTACAATGTGTCCTTATGTAATAGTGAGGTAAATCTAATAATTAAAATATTAATTTAACATACTACTAGGTATTGGTCCACCATCGTTATTCGTAATATTATTATGTTTACTTATTTCGACACTCTCATAGGCATCTAGATGCTAGTTGTTGTTAACTTGTCTAACTAATCATAATGAACTGAAGTCTATGGAATGGTTATGTTGCAAAATATAATGGGCGACTGCTGATTTTTATGGTCTTCCATATTTTAGGCGTGCTAAGTGTTCCTTATATCTTATTGTAATATATATTTTTGTTTGCCATAATATTCTGCATCGCCATTTAATTTCGTAAATTCCAGACTTTTCCGAATACTCAACATTGTTTTTTGGATTTCCTAAAAGGCTCTGTTGTGTATAACTTGTTTCAAAAACCACCTTCATACCCATTTCCTTGATAATCTTTCCAAATTTCTTCGTGTATTGGTGGTATGGAACTGAGATATATTTATCTTGGTTTTCGTTGTTTTTAAAATTCGAGATTGAGTTCAATCTTAACCTAAATTTTTTCTTCCTTATTATATTATCTACAAATGATATATCATCTACAAATGATATAATGAGGAAAAAAGTTTAAGTTAAGAATCAACGAAATCTCGACTTTTAAAAACAACGAAAACCAAGATAACTATATCTCACTTCCATACCACCAATACACGAAGAACTTTGGAAAGAACTAGGTATGAAGGTGGTTTTTATAACAAGTCATACACTACACAGCCTTTTGGGAAGTCCAAAAGACAACCTCGAGAGTGAGGAAAAGTCTGGAATATACGAAATTGAATGTAAGGACTGCGATGCAAAATATCATGGACAAACAAAAAGAGCTACTGAAAGGAACAATTAGCACAACTAAATTATGGAAGACCAGAAAAATCAGCAGTCGCCCATCATATTTTGCAACAAAACCATGCCATAGACTTTAGTTCATTAAGATTTGTTAGACGAGTTAACAACAACATGCATGTAGATGCCTATGACACTGTAGAAATAAGTAAAAATAATAATATTATTAATAACCATGGTGGAAAAATACCTAATAGTATACTATAGCTTGTGAAAATAATTATTTAATTATTAGATTTACCTGACTATTACATGAGGACACATTGTAAAATTAATAAAAAACTAGTAGATAAGGCATTGTGAAATGAATTTAAGACAAAATAAATTGATGGATGTAGCCGTTACTACGTGGTAGGAGATCATGATGAGAAGAGAAATGAAAATTTCTATGCTTTTTACCACTTTTATTTGTAAATAACGTTACTGCAGTTTCGTCCTATGTGGACATTTTCAAATTTGAATAATGAACTAATAGTCAATAAAGTTTATTGTTCAAGTTTGAAAATGTCCACCTAGGACGAAACTGCAGTAACGTTAGTTACAAATAAAAGTGGTAAAAAACATAGAAATTTAAGACTCTCAAGACGCAGGCACCTAGAAGAAGTATCTATGGTATAAATAAGGATGAAATTATAAGTATATTTAGTTTAATCTTCCTCTTGAAAATGATCATTTGGTGATCGAAACACGTGTAGATGTGTTGAAATGACGGTTTGATGTTGGGAAAAAACTGTAGTAATATTTAATTGAGCTTAAAATAATTTTTTGGCCAATGTACTGATATAATGAGTTAATAGGTATCGTATTTTTATTTTTGTAGGCAAATCAGCTCGGACAGAAACATCTAAAGAAGAAGATCATATAGGGGTTAATAAACGGAAGACATTAATGAAGGTTTCTTTATGGCTAATGCTAGCTCTTTACGTGCCGCCAACCACTGCTCAAAATATTTTATATTTGAGAAACGATTGGGGAGCAGAACCTCCAAAACAGTATAACGATGTTACCCATCCTGTACATATGGTTGTAATGAAACATACCGGAGGGAGATATTGCGATAACTTCATAGACTGTTCCAAAGGAGTCAAAGAATTACAGGAATATAGTGTTACAATAGGATCGCCTGACATTTATTGTAACTTCCTCATAGGAGGTGATGGAAATATATTCGAAGGGAGGGGATGGGGTGTTCAACCACAGGATAGAAACAACACAGTTGATATAGTTTTTATCGGAAACTATAATATCGATGAAATTAATTTCCGTATGATTGATGCAGCGAAGGTTCTCATGCAAACCGGAGTTGAGAAAAAGTATTTGGAAGAGGATTATATAGTTGTTTGTCACAATCAAACCGTGAACACACTTAGCCCAGGACGAAACGTTTTCAATGAGGTTCAGAAATGGGATCATTACGATAGAAATTTGTATTTCAAAAATTAACGGTGAGTAGGAAACAAAAGGTGAGTGCATAAGCGCCTCTCTCTAAAATCTGAAGTGCCCCAAGGTTAGATCCTTGGTCGGCCTCTTTTATTTTCCATCTAAACATTTTATCTTGAGCATCTTGTAAAGTACTTTTATATACAGATTAAAGTGGCTTTTATTTCAACTTTTCGCTTCAAGTGAGGGAGGCTGCTTGTACTGAATAATCAAGACCTCAAAGCCATTATGAAAGTTGTTATTGATCATTGCGTCGTTATTAATGCAAAATAGTCGATTATGCTTTTTGGATCACGAACTAACCAGGAAATAGTATCGGAAACGAATGAAGTTACGTTCGATACCGATACTTTTATTTTATTCAATCAATGACGCAAGGAATTGGGGTGTTTTAGTAGATACTGAATTTCAATTGGAAGGTGATATCAATTGATTTTCGAGTCCGATCCCTCTGGACCTGTACGTTAAGGAGGTTGCGTTAATGGCCATGTAACGATTGCGCGCCGCTGGTGTCAACCTCGAAGTAGAAATGGGTCAATTGAGGCTGAGCCTATGGCGAGAAGCGCTTACTGCGTAACCTCTGCTGCAGGTAACCAGTGATGCAATTAAACCCAGGTTTGTGTTTAATAAACCCTACAAAATACAAATAAAACAAAACACAGAGTCAGATGCTACAAATGCAATGCGCATATATACAGACGGCTCAAAAACCAAAGAAGGCTCAGGATGTGGAGTGTACTTCAGATCACTAAACCTAGGGATTAAGTGGGGAATGGGAAAAAATACTAGCGTGGTCCAAACAGAACTGGCTGGTATCTCAATCGCCACAAAAGAAATAACCCGGAAAGAAATTTCTGGCAAAAACATAACAAACTGCACTGACAGCAGACAAGCCCTATCAGCTCCGAACAGATAACGTGTAACCTCAGGGCTAGTACTAGAATGCCATCAAGATTTAGCCAAAGCCTCGGTAGATAATTACTTTAATCTGAGGTGGGTTAAAGGGCACGACAGGAGTAAAGGTAATCGTATTGCCGACTCTTCAGCCAAGGAAACGGCTGTACTAAGAATATTAGGACCCAGTTCGACAATTGCGGAACTAGCCAAATGTTACACCCATGCTCAATCCCTAAAGAGATGGGATGGAATCAAAGGATGCAATCTTGCCAGGATCTCCCTGGGCGACCCTAGAAAGCTGGCGCCGAAGAAATATCTGGCGATGACCAGGAAAAATCTACGCTTAACAGTAGGATTTCGGACTGACCACTGTCAACTAAGGTAACACCTCCATAATATGAGGCTGGTGGACACACCTCTATGCAGGATGTTTGAGTAGGAAGATGAGACTGTCAGGCATATCCTATGCGAGTGCCCGGAGTTATCATCACTAACGGAGTGTGTGTTCGGCGAGTCTTGGCCTACGCCTGCCGATATAAAGGAGATGTCTCCCAGTGACCTGTTCACCTTCCTGGAAAGGATAGGATGGATGATGACCTAGGAGGACAAGTCCTCGGGAGGATGTACAATGGATCACAAGTGGTCTAAGTGCTGTGGGCTTACACTCACCCTCCCTATTCTACAGATACAGATCAATTGATTTTCATAACGTACTTACCTATTATCCAAATCTATCTACGACTATAAAAAATGTCTTCCTTCATACGTCAAGAAAACATGTGGGGCCTTGATTATTCAGATTCTCTCTATGGGCCTAATTTCACCATGAGAAAAATCCAGAAAGTTCAGAATCGTTATCTGATGGTGTGAGATGAAGACAAAGAATAGGTATCTCATAGGTGAGCTCAAAGGAATTAAATGGATAACAGGAGAGTAATTGGAAAACATAGGCTTCCACTGCTGGAGACACGATTAAAGAGAACAACATTAAGGCTACTAGTCCATCTTCGAATGAAACCTGAGGTACCAAACGTTTCGCATACTAAAGCGGAATACATCATCAGTGGTGTATGTATTGACTGCGAGGACGAAGGTTAATAGGGATAAAAAATGAGGAGGAGGAATACTAATAGCCATTAGAGAATCTTCAATAACTGAGTTAATCGACATATCTCCTGACAATATAAAACATCTTTAAATTATCAATAGGTGCTTCAACAATCATTATCGGTGGTGTATATATTCCTCCTTCTTCTGTAGTGAATACTTATATGGAACATACTGCTACCGTTGATTATATTTTAGAAAAATACTGTACTAGCAAGATTATCCTTTGTGGTGACTATAATATACCCGACGCATTTTGATTCAGACCAAGCTCTCCATGCTTGGTCTGAATGTTGATTGTCCAGAAAACTTACCTGCACTAGCTTTATTACATTCATTTAGTTTCCATAATTTATATCAAATCAATAATATTCATAAATATGTATGTTCAAAATCCATCGGACCCAATTTTTCAAAATACATTACATCATTCTTTGGTATGTTTTGATTTGAAAAATGATACAAAGGAATATCTAAAATATGATGACTTTGTAAATGGAGATTATATGGGCATGAATGATTTCTGATGGGATACTGGGACACTGGGATGGGATGGGATGGGATACTGGGATATTGGGATACCAAAATACTGAAGGATGAGGATTTAAATATTGTAGTTACAAATTTTTACAATATTCTCTATACAGCTCTGGAGTACTATGTTCCACTAAAAAAATATAAAGCTCCTACTTTCCCAATATGCTTCAATTCTGAGCTGAAAAAATTAGTTTTCGAGAAGAAATCGGTTCACAGAGAATACAAAAATGGAAATTTTTATAAATATGAAGAATATTGTTATTTGAGAGATAAGTGCAAAGCTTTGAGAAATACTTTCCATCAAGCATACATAAATAAAATAGAGAATAACATCAACAATAATCCTAGAAGCTTCTGGAGTTATATTAATAATAAAAAAATCACACTCCTTACCATCTAAAATGTATTATGATGACTGTCAGTGAAAATAGTGAGGATATTGTAAATCTTTTTGCAGAATATTTCTCATCAGTCTACAGTGATGAAACAGTTAACCAATTTCCAGAATATAAATTTAGAAAGACGGTTGATATTAAATTACCTGGGAAATTGTCTACAGGTCCTGATGGAATTCCGCTATTTCTAATCAAAAAATGTATTTTTACTCTGGTCAAACCAATTCACATGATATTCAATATTTCCTTGAAATCGTCGGTCTTTCCAGATTATTGGAAAAACAGTTTTTTGAAACCTATTTATAAAAGTGATATAAAAAATTATCGAGCAGTCTGTAATCAATCAGAATTACCCAAATTGTTAAACAGTCTAATTACAAAAAAGCTAACATGGGATTGTAGACATATAATCATTAATCAACAACATGGATTCAGTAGTGGTAGATCTACCAGCACAAATCTGCTAATTTATCAACACTGAATAATAAACGCCTTCGAAAATAGACACCAGGAGAATTCTATTTACACAGACCTTTCAAAGGCATTTGACCGAGTAAACCACAATTTGTTGTTGCATAAACTAAACGCTTTGGGTATTCAAGAAAACATTCTGAAATGGATTGAAAATTATCTAGCCTGCAGACTACAATTTGTAAAATATGGTAACTCAGTATCTTCCTCAATCACAGTTTCATCGGGTGTACCACAGGGTTGTCATTTAGGGCCATTGCTTTTCAACTTATTTGTCAATGACTTGAAAGATGTTATTCTTTATAGTGAATTTCTTTTGTTTGCTGATGACCTGAAGATGTTTTAAGTTATTCATGACTCAATTGATACAAAATTATTACAGTACGATTTATCTAACTTTGTTCGCTGGTGTGATATGAATCCACTGCAATTAAATATAGACAAATGTCAAAAATTTACTTTTTTCCGAAACAAAAATCCCATTAACTGGCCATATGAAATCAATCATTCAGAACTGAAAACAACAAACACAATCAAAGATTTAGGAATCACTCTCAACCCAAAAATGTCATTTAAACCCCATATTGCAAATATTACTTTTAAAGCGTTAAAAATTTTAGGTTTCATTCTCAGATCTGCAAATGAATTATCTCTCACTTCAATAAAAATCATAAATTGTTCAATTGTTAGATCAATAATCGAATACAATTCCACAATTTGGTGCCCTTCATATCATGTGGATATTGATATGCTTGAAAGTGTTCAAAATACGTTTTTAAGGTACTCTGCTTATAAACTGGGATATCATATTGGTGAATATGACTATAAAATTATATTGGACATTTTTAACTTGAATACTCTGGCTCATAGAAGATTAGAAGCAGACCTTAATTAAATCATAAAATAATCAATGGTAGCATCAATTCCCTGGAATTCAATTCAATTTCCAATTCGGATATATTCAAAGTACCCTTTTGTCGCACCAACTATGACCGGAATGAATCTGTAGGTAGAATTTTGAGACTTGCAAATACATACAATGTAGATTTAGAATATTTGAATTCTTCTTTGGAAACATTTAAAAAGACTGTGAAAAGAATGTAATTCATTATTTTTACGATTTCTTTATTTCATATTATTTCAAATATTTTTTCCTTAAACCCAGCTTATATTACTGTTAAATACCTATGTGGGAACTTGTTAATTATCTTGTAAAAAATAGGCATTGCCGTAAATAAATAAATAAATAGATATCTGAACTTCATTCTGTGGGGCTGTGCAGAAAATAGCTGTAATTTTCCAGTTATCTGACATTCTCTAACACTGACACAAATAGTCATGTAAAATTGTTCGTTTTGGATTATTATATGTTCCTTCTTCAATGTCTTCACTTATTGAATCATAGCAAAACATGGCTAACTTTGCCACTGAAGTGATGTCGTATATTAAAAGGTATCTATTAAGTATCTACGACTTAATTATATTTGAAATATTTTGAACTTGTCATTTGTATATATGTCACAGGGTGATGAGCTCTTGAAATTCTTCAAGTTCCATATTCGTTTCCTGTAGATACTGAAATGAAAATTGATAGGTTCAACAATCTCTTCCCACACTTTTTTGCCTGATACATGTTTTACTACAATATTATTTTTTTGTTAGTAACCTCCAACCTTCTTCTTTGCATGGGTTATTCGGAAATCGTGTATCAACAAATGATAGCTGTGACTTCACCAATATACAGGTGGTCTCTAGTACAGGGTGCAAAGACTTGCTTTTTTGGAAAGTATGAGATCAATGAGAATCACACCAAAAGCAGCATCGGAAACATTCTTAACAACCTCTTTGACTCGATAAACTGAAATAATGAAAAATATATGCTAGCTAAGATGAACTAAAGGATTGATGTACTTCAAACGAAGACATATTTATGAAGTGTGAATATTTCTCACGTAGGTATATTATTCTTGAGTGATGTTGAAAATGTCTTCGATGTTATAGCAGAGAGATATTATTTTTCAAGTTCATAGTTTTATAGGAAACAAATATTATAAATCTCAGTGACAGTATTCTTGTTCAATTTTACGAATTGTGTGCCAGTTTTTATTAGAATTTAGGTAATTTTTCGCAATGTAACATGGAAACATTTTCTCGTAATGAGTAGAATTTTCCAAGATGAACGTAAAATCTGTTGAGCAACATGCTTCCTCACCATATGCTCCACCTAAACCCAGTATCGAGACTGGGAGGTCTGTAGGGGTGAGTGTGTATGAAAGAGCCAGGCTTTAAAAGAGTCGATGTGATTTTCTATCACTTACCAAAATTCTACCATAATTTAATTTTATTGTTTGTATGGCAACACATTTGACAGTTCTGCGAAAACGAATGGCGTCGGGAGACCACATCAAAAATTTTAGGACCAAAAAGTATGTTTGTTTGCGTTCACTAAATTTGTTTCACAAAGAAAAGTGCAGCATGAGTTGATAAAATTGATATGTTGTATTGTTAGGCATATATTTAGCATTATTTTACGATAATATTGATGTCATAATGTTTACGCGAAATAGCTGTATTTTGAGGTTACAACTTAAATGACAAAATGTTTTGAAGAGCCACTTGTGGAGACATTGAAAGAGTCGGCTCTTTCATGGCACCAAAACTGTCTCTTTCAATACACTACAAACTACCAAATTGCGCAGTTCATTAGAGATACCTATTCAGCAGCTATAACCCTACAAAATGTTACTCAAGGATTCATCAAAATTGGCATACATCCCTTGAATTATAACATATTTTCTGACGATGCATTCCTAGATTCATAAGTGACCGACAGACCTAATCCAGCTTCAGAAAAAATAAAACGAGGAAAAAGAGAAGATAAATTAACTTAGAAAAGTTGGTGTTAAGAAAATGTCAACGAAACAAAATATAAAAAAACTAAGTTCCAAGGCACATGATGAGTCCAGTAATTCTAGAGCCAACATACCTTTGGATGATGATTCCTCATTAACAAGCTCAGGTGATGAAATTATTCTATTGGAATTGAAATAACAAGAAGATTACTTCACAGCATGATAAAAATTATTGTATTGTGTGTAATAGAGATTATTCTAAGAGCAAAGTAGAATGGTATCAGTGCAAGATTTGTGATGATTGGGCATATGAGTCTTGTGGCATTGAAGGTGTTACAAATTTCTTTCGCCAAAAATGTTTCTAGTTATTCATTTCATAAGGAGACTGATTAAAAAAATATATAATTGTATTAGGATGCTCAAGAATATTGTAAGATTTGAAACTGATAAATAACAGAAATGAACAATGGTTTTTATAGGTTTTTATAGGAGATAAATAGTTTATTTAGATATTGTTATTGCTAAAAGACTGTTTTTTTGTAAAGAGGAGCCTTTCTGGGTAATTAATTATTTCATAATGGAGACGGATTATTGAAAAAATATACATTATATTGCCTTGAGATTGTTGGAAGATTGTGATTTGAAATTGATAATAAATAACTGATTTTCACAGAAATAAGCAATTTTACAGTTTGATAAGACTTTAATAACAGATAAATAGTTTATTAGGTAATTGCGTTTGATGAAAAACTTTTTTTTTGTAGAGAGGAACCCGGCTCTTTCATAGCACATGCCCAGCTCTTTCATACACATGTTGCTTTGAAAGAGTCCATTTCCTTTTTTTTTTAAGTTGCCATATTACTAATTTCTGTCATTATATCTCACTTCATTTTGACTGGATAACCAAGACTATCAAAATAATTATTCACAAAAAGCAATTTTATTCAATAACCATCACCTGACGGTAACTTTTTTTGATGTTTTTCAAAATTGGCTCTTCATAAACACTCTCCCCTACGCTGTTTGTTCGAAGAATAAGATGAATTTTATTTTTTCTCAAAAAATTCTCATTTATTCATCAGCAGCATATTTTCGAATCCTCGAAGCAGTTATGATATGCACTTGTTGATATGTCGTTGAGCTCTCAGCGATTCGGTTTTTACCTCCTCAATCGTCGCAAAACGCCGTCCTTTCGCGGGTCTCTTCAATCTTGGGAACAGGAAGAAATGGCTGAAGCATGATTATGGTGTTGTTTCTGGCCAAAAAATTACGAACGAGTGATCAGGTGCATAAAAGCCATGAATTGTTTTTTCACAATACCGGATATATTTTTCATATTGTTTCTCGCAAGCAGCACATACCTTCAAGATAATACTTACTATTGACCGTACGACCATGCGGCAAAAACCCCATATGCACTATGCCACGGTAATCGAAGAAAATAGTAAATAGAAAATAGCAAAACATTGACATTTGATCGAACTTGGCGTACTTTTTGGGTCTTGGCTCTTTTGAGCTTTTCCATTGGGATGATTGGACTTTGGTTTCGATGTCATAACCCATGAATCGTCACTAGTCATGGCCCCTTTAGGCCAATCTGGATCGTTGTTGGAGTGATTTAACAATTCCAGGGCGATGCTTATGCAGGACGGTTTTTTTGACAGAATTCAGCAATTCTGGAACTGCTTCTGGTGTCATGCCGAAAATATTCTAAGAAATTGCTAGGCATGGGCCAACTTTTCTAATAGTGATTTGACGATTTTCCATAACAATTTTCATCGACTGTTGATGTGCTAGGGCCTCCAGGGCGACCGTCGTCATCATTCACATCTTCTCAACCTTCTGTGAAAAGCTTGTACCACTTTTGAATATGTTTCTGACTCAGAGTACAATCATCGTATGCCACTGTTAACATTTAAAGTGTTTTTGAGCACTCAATTCCAGTTTATACATACAATTTGATGCATTTTTTGGATAGCAAAAAATCGCTGAACACACAAAACACTTCTAACATTCATGCATCTCACCAACAAATTAAACATGCTCAACAGCTAAAAGTATGAACATATGTTTTCGTATTGCACTTATATGCGATATATATCTCGGTCGGTTGTCAGGCGGTTCGACGTGGGTGCTTTGTTCACTCACTCGAATTGACTGCCGTGTTGGTCGATGGTTCTAGCCCTAGTCTGAACGATCGATTTCCACTTGCTATCGTCCAACCCGTATTAGGAATCACACGTTAAAAGGTAAGACCTCGTTAATCCTTAGCTCGCACAAGTTCCGACTTCTGAGGGTTGTCGTTCGTAGGGGTGCGACAGCTGGTTAACGGAAAGACAGATTTTAAACAGAATTGAATAACGATTTTTTTTCGTATTCAATGTTGCCTGTTTTCTCGAATATTTTATTCAATATATCATAACACTTCATTTATATGAGTCGTCTATCATGATATTTCGCGGCCTATACACGGAAGGTCAAGAAAGAATAATACAGGTAAACACAGTTTTCAAGCAAATCACATAAAATGTTTTCTTTAGATGATTGTCACAATTCATTATTTTGTTTCGTTTTCGATTATATTCTAAGTCAAAACCTTATTCAGAGTTCACTATTTAACAAAACATTTCAGAGGTAATTGAAGATCTATAATGTCAAGTTTCAAACTTTCATATCATCGAAAAAATGTTCAGTTTCATGACTAAAATGAAATTTAATTACCTTACTGATAAAATCATGAAATTATGAAACAACAAAAATCAATTGGCGCTCCGGTGCGACTTCATTAATTCCAGTGGCGCATTTGCTTTTTCAGCTGCCAGAGGCTCCAATAAATTCAAGACGTCGCCAGAACATTTGGTCACACGACTCTCATCAAATTTAAATCAGTCCCGTCTTTGACCAATGCGTAATAATGACCAGATTCAACGCCAGAACCACAATGAACAATGACTGCATGAATATTACAAAAGTGGTCTGCTAGACTGAGATGTTCATCTATTTCGAACCTTCGTAAGAATTTGGTACTTCCGTCAGAGGTTGAGTCATGTTTGAAGACCATCAGTGTTATTATTAGGTTGACTGGTACCTCAGTTATACTTCTTTTTTTATAATAGTCAGTCAGTTTGTCGTATATTTGGCAATACAGTTGATCATCACCCGTTGCAAGTTCCATTTTCAGATGATTTAAAAATAAGCTTTGCACGGACTGGTTATCGGTCATAATAGGTTACGCTAATTGAAGTTTCAGAAAATCACATACTTATTTGTTACCTCTTGAATATTTATACAAGTGGGGAATTTTTCAGCAAAAGATCTACAAACACAAGATGAGATATACTGTACGGAATTATTCAATCTAGAGCGGTCAGAAGTATTATTTTTTTGTTCACGAAAAGTATTCAACAAGAACACCAAGAATTTGGGGCAATCCTATTGTTGTCCTGTCTGGTTCACTTCAAAGACTCCAGGAAATCGCTTGGTAGAAGAGATGATACATTCTTACGAAACTGTAACTGCATTAACGATTGTTTGAGTTCGGTAAATAAGTAGGAAACATTCTCGTTCTCGTTAAAATCTCGTTCTTGAAATTCTTCGACAAGATCAACACTTGTAAAATACTATGAAATTTAAAATTTTTCAAAACGTATTCTTTTTTTCAGAACTGAGCTTCGGTTTCAAACAACACCCTGAAAGCATTCTTATAGTATGCGTCATGCAAAACAAGAAATTCAAGAAAGAAGATTGTCCAAGTCAACAAAAAAAAACACGATAATTCCCAAAAATCATTCTGGTATCCCACACATATTGAAAAATACAAATTGAATTCACGAAAGGAGTTTGCCTTCGTCTGAAAAAGTACTTTTGTTTCTTATAGGTCTACTGATCGAAAGCCATAGTTCATCTTATTTTTGTAACACATTGATTGAGTCCAGAATTTTCAACGACTCTATATATTTGAAAAGGAATTGGAAGCCGTTTGCTACAATTTTCATATGAGTGAGAATGGAAATGTTTTATGTGAAAGAGAGTGAAATATTTCTAATTATTTTATATTTATTGGAATTGGCTCAGTTGTAATGTTTGAATGTAACACTTTCACTAATGCTTTCAGTAACTCTTTCAAACTAAAAAGGCTTTGGAAAAAATTTTGAAATGCTTCATTTTGGTTGGTCATAATCAAACTACAGATACATTGTTAATAAACTTATCAAAAACTTTTCCGTTTTTAGTGATAAACATGCTGAGTATTTGAGTTTACTCAATAGCTACATTATTGAATTTGATAAGGTTGTCTCCGAGCTAAAAAATGCTGTTAACGTCGATGCAAAATGAATACCAATATTTGTTTGAAGGTTATTGACAATTTCATCAGTTCGGACTTCCATTGTCTGATATTATATGTATTATATAAAATGATTTGGAATCCCTGAAAGAACCAATAAAAAAGAAGAAGAATTAAAAAAGAATAGCTGAAAATAACAATTATATTAAGCAAAAAAACCTGAAATGAAATAACAGTGAAATTAAATACAAGTAAAAATAGAACAATTGACAAAAATTAAAAATAAAAAGTTAAGAGATTCCAAGCCAAGTTACATCACAACGTTTTGATTGTTAGTATCCACAATCGTCTTCGGGTGATGACTGGACTAATTTCTCGGAGAGATGAATATTTATGGGTCATTAGAGTATTTTCCCTTATTTTCGCTTTCCTTTTTCCGCTTCACCGGTTTAGTGGGAGATAACCGTTTAGCGGGAGTTGGCAATTTTTCCCTTGATTATGGGTTTCCATATGTTGCGTATCTCTACGCTAGCTCGGCTAGCGTATTTCCTAAATACCAATGTTCTCCCTTGTGTATGATCTCAGTGGGTTTTCGGTATACAGATGTTTCTCACTTAGTGTCGGTTCTCTTCACTAATACGTCTAAGAATGGCAATTCGTTGTGGACTTTCTTCTCCATTGTGAAAGTGATGGAAGGTCTTACGCTGTTGATATGTTTCAAGATAGCGTCTAGTTCAGTATTTCCATGGTTCCATATTATGAAGGTGTCGTCACCGTAATATGGAACCATCGAAATACTGAACTAGACGCTATCTTGAAACATATCAACAGCGTAAGACCTTCCATCACTTCCACAATACAGAAGGAAGACCACAACGAATAGCCAGTCTTAGACATATTGGTGAAGAGGACCGACACTAAGTGAGAAACATCTGTATACTCAGACGGGACAGTACCTGAACCACGTATCCAAACACCATCAATCGATCAAAAGAGGAATCATCAAGACTCTATTAGACCGTGCTTTCAGGCTCTGTAATATAAAGGGAGGTTTCGAGAAGGAACTAGACATCATCAAAAATGATATTTAATGAAATGGCTACAGCAAAGCGATGGTGAAACAGACTATGGCTAAAAGACATCAGGAGCCTCGCAAGGAAGAGAAGCCGTCACAACCAGTGCTTGCACTTCGCTACATCAGAGGTTTGTCGAAAAGGATAAGAAGGTTTGGGTCCAAGTACAACATCAGAACCTGCTTCAGATCCGGAAACACTATCCGTAGTAGCCTCACAAAAATCAGACCACCAAACGCGGACTGTGATTCCAAGAATTGTATACTCTGTGAATGCGGAAAATCCTATATCGGTGAAACTTTGAGGCCATTGAATGTTCGCATTGCCGAGCACAAGAAACACACACAGCGAGAGGAAACTAGCAAATCAGGAATAACAGAGCATATTTAGACCCATCAACATAACATCGAGTTGTCCCAAGCTGAGATCATACACAAGGAGGAACCTTGGTTCAAGAGGAAATTCAAAGAAGCCGCATACATGTTGTCCAACAATATATTCAGCTAAGCTAGCGTAGAGATACGCAACATATTGAATCCTATTCAGGTGTACCAATCTGTTGTAACCTCAATCAACTTTTTGTTATCATCAAATGAAAATTATGAAAAGTAAATTGCTTTCAGAAGAAGAAAGGATGAAAAAACGCGAAGATGAATATGAAGAGAGAAACGCAATCATAGGCCATTTCAATAAAAAAAAAATGAAACACATTTGTAGATTGACAGCTTCATTTTTATTTTACGCATGAATTTCATGAAATTAGTTGCTTTCAGACGAAGGACAGTCTTCATATTTTATACATTTCCCTTCATATCTTGCATAACCCTCTTTACAGAAACAAAGAGTTCTGTCACAAGTAGTGGAGTATTCCGAAAAACAATTTTCCCCATTGAGTTTCCTGTTTTCACATGTTAACTCCAATCGACAGGATACGTTTGGGCAACTGTCGGTATCTTCTGTCCACCTGTCACAACCTGAAATTGGAGAATATTCATAGAATTCTTGACAAAAAATAACGTTATTTGGGGCAGGAAAACGAAGGCAAATACACTGCCTGAAGATAATCAATACACTTAGGTGCATAAAAAACGACCCCCTTGAAATGTTAACAAATTTTGATTTCGAATACGTTTTTTATTTTCAGCCCCATTTTGATTCTTTTTTCATCAATTGGAAGGAAGTTCCCCCTAGATTATTTCACATCAAACAGATTTCCAAATAATGCTCGATTTATATACATCAGAAAACAAAGTTATGTTTCTATCATCCAAGTTTGAGACACTCTGTGGTAAAACACAGCTTTTGGATGCCACACAAAATAATTTTATATACAAGCTTGGTCGATTTCCTATAAATTGTTTCTTCATTCATTTTGTTATCATGATTCGTTCCAAATTCAAGAATTGAATGAAGCATAGGATTTTCTCTACGTATTCATATGCAACGATTGAGCATATCTGGCACTAAGTAGACTTTTAAGAAGTTGCGGAAGACCACCTACCAACGAAAAAAACTTCGTGATGCGCTCATAGAGAATTAGAATAACATGCTACAAGATTATATTCGAACGCTCTTTCGTGGAATGACTCGGAGAATGGAAGCTAGAGAAGGCAACAACCATTATTAAAAATTGGTTTATTATTTCATTTTTCAACTGTCAGCTGCTCATGTAAAAATGAATGAATAAACAATGTATAGGGAATCAACTGAGCTTGCATACGGGATTATTTTTGTGTGTCATCCAAAAGCTGTATTCCACCACATGATGTCTTAAATATAGATAATAGAAACCTAACTTTGTTTCCCATTGTTTAATGTGTGTAAATCGGCCCTTATTAGGGAAAATGTTCGATGTGAATTAATCTGGTATAATTATTCTTCCATTCATTGGAAAAATTATAATCGGGCTCAAATTAAAAAAAGTTATTCAATTAAAAAATTTGTTAACAGTTAGAGGTAGCTGTTTTTATGCACCTGATTGTACATTGAATATCTCAGATTCATCAAATGATACTCAGCATTGGCTAATGCTCATCAGAAAACAACTAATCACCTAGCTAATACCCCGACGTATATTGGATTAAAATGAAAATTTTCAGATGGATTTTATCAATAATATAATTTCCTTATAGATATCAGTAGTAGTTTACCGTGAGAATTCTAATTTCTTTCGAAATATCTAATTTCGTGATATGTGTAACTGTCCATTAAACGAAAAGTTATTAGACTGTTCTGATTTGTGTGGTAATTCTTTTCATTTACATACAACGATATTGCATTATTTTGTATCACTCCTTCAGTTCAACGAAATTTTGAATTTATTAATTTATTACTTTCTTTATTGGTTTTGATAAACAAGAACAATACAATAAATGTGGAATCGAAATGAAATTGTGTAGAACACACCAATATTCAAAATCACAATTGAGCATCACACACATGATTAATTGGGAATATCAAAACGAGAAACCAATAACTTGGGTCTACCAGCTTCCAGTGGAAAGTGGTCCAAGTGATCCCACCAAGGATATTCTATGCATCTTGTCATGAAGTATTACAATTTCATTTTAGTATAACAATTCTTCATGTTACCTATTGTTAGCTTTATTTCAATTCCACGACACGTAAGTATCGTAAATAATTTTAGAGTTTCTGATGTCTGACTGCTTCAGATTCTATTTTCTAGCTCTTCTACCTACCTTCTACCAGCTGTGGCAGGAGGTAGGAATTCAATGAATTCTTCCGCTGGATTGAATTAAAACGATTTCAAAAGTACTGTAATGCTAAATCCAGCGGTGCGCTTTTTGATTTTTCGTCCTGGTATCAGTCGTATCGAGAGGTTTTGACAAAACAAAAGCAAAACGGTGAAAGAAGCGAAACAAAGCAAAGCAAAAATCTTTTTATTAAAATAAACTATTTACATGTCTAAATTTCATGAGTACCTTTATCTTAAGGGTAGAGTAGCAAAGTGACTTCTACTTCAGACAGGCGCGCCCTCGCGTCTCCGCCGAGAGGAGGCGGTGGGAAACGCCCCTCGCGATGTTAGCGGTTTGACGCTCACCCAGAAACATAGACTTTATTAAAAACGACTTGGTAATGTGCCTCCTGCCGCCAAGGCTTATGCACACCACTACATTGTTTTGATATTCAGGTCGTTCGAATGAAAATATAGCTGTTAATGTGTTGGTTAACTAGATACTCCTGGAAAAAGTTCATGCAAAAACCAGGACAGAATGTCTACAGGAAGTTTTCTATGCCAGTTTTTTCATGAACTTACAAACGGTCATTTACATGGAAAATATCGAGGGCTTCATAAATCAACCCACCGTAACGGCGGGGTTGATTATGATGAACTCTAACTGCCGTGATACTACTAGTCGGCGGACTTTTCGGAAGGAACCACTTGAAGTGTTTGTAAGCAAGCCTTCGGATCAAATCCGTAATCTGCTCGACCTTCGCTATATCACGTAAACGCTCCAATGAAATGTATCGATCATTATCAGTCACGATACGAAGCACCTTATTCTGCATCGTCTCGAGTCTCCGCAACGGAGTCCTCTGCAGAATACAGTACAAGCGTACAACATAGCAGGCCTGATAATTTGTTTATATATCAGGAGCTTTTTGTCAACACTCAGTTTGGAATTTCGTGCAATGAGAGGGTAGTTGCGTTTAATCGCCGCTCCCGCTCTCTAGATTGCCAGACTCAAGTGCTTATGAAAATTCAAGCGCTTGTCCAGGATAACTCCCAGATACTTGCACTTTTCTGTTCTTCGACACACTTTTCTTGAATCGTCAATTTCCTGAAGATCTTCACGTCGGTGAATTTCTTCGTGAAATTGACAAGTTCAGTCTTTGACGGATTTAGCCTTATCTTATTCCTCTCCACGTACGGTACTCCTAACCGATCTGTATTTGGCGTGTTGCCACCTCACTAGAGTAAGAATGGGCATATATGGCAGTATCACCTGCATATACCTATGCCTACATTCGTTTTTGTGAACATTGGAAAGTCATATGTATACCGAGAGTATAAGTGTGGGGATAAACAGGACCCTTGTGGAACACCTGCTTCCATTGGAAAATCTCCGTAGAGATAGCTAGGTGTATTCTTACCCTAAATTTCCGGTTGACCAGATAAGAATCCAAGATTCTTATCATGTATAAAGGCATGTGTGCCATCCACATTTTCGCGATAAATCCGTTTGTCCAAACGGTGGCAAAAGCTTTATGTATGTCCAACAGGACCATGACTGTATTCTTTTTCTGGTGAAAGGCCTCTTTTACTCCGTGGAACAGTCGGACCAGTTGCGAGGTCGTGTTACGACCCTGCCTGAATCCAAACTGTTTCTCCGGAACAAGTTTCAGTCTTTTCTCCAGACTGAGAAGTCTGCTCAATAAGATCTTGTCCGCAATCTTGGCGACCGAGCTAAGTAACGAAATCGGTCGGTGGCTCTCTCTGGTTCTTCGGTTTTCCCGACTTATGAATGGGTATTAACCATTGTGAAAGAACCAGGAGTTCTAAGCATCTTGAAAATTATCAGTCACTGTACTCTGACATTTCATCTTTTTACCAAAATCTCAGAGCAGTAAAATTATATACTCACAGACAAAAATATTGCATATTTTATTTTAAGCCTTGATTTCACGTTTATTTCTATTTCTGTGAATATTTATGCAGTTTTTATTACTAACTGGTATATGCTGAAGTATTTATTGTATATCGATTGCCAATTATCCAGATATTGAAACTTTATAACACACTTGTAGAAGAAGTAATGGAATAGAATAGTTTTGTTTATGATATTCAATTAGAACAAGCAACATTGATGACAAAATGAAAGTTCTTTTAGGCAAAATGATGGCAGTTCAGTACTTATTGTTTTCTTCCCTAGCTCTAACGATTCCCTGCATCCTCGTGGGCATCCGCGAAAGGTCTTTCATAGTTTTTTGTGGAATTTGATCCCATTCTTCCTGTGTAGCAATTCCTAATTCTGCAATTAACTTAGGAGCTGGATTTCGTGCTCGTATTTGCCTTTTTAGGATGTCCCAAATATGTTCTATGGGATTTGCGTCAGGAGTGTTTGGTACCCAATCCATTGCCTCAAGTCCACCAACTTCAAGATACTTTACTGTAGATAAGTACTCGAGTACTATCTATAAAGTACATCTATAGAAATTTACGTAAAATACTTTGGCTTTTGAACTTTTATCAAAGCGAAATGAAATTAACATAAAAAATATATTGAAATAAAATATGCAATATTTTTGTCTGAGAGTGTAATTGTCGAAAAAAACGACAATGTCATGTCACTTGTCAGTTCACCATTTCACGAAAGAAAATGCATAGAAACTCGGGAGTTTTAACCGATTCGCTTTTGTTTTGTCAAAAACTCTTGACTCCAGAAATGAGATCGACTTAACTTTGTAAACACGTTGATAGAATCGAAATCTGTCGCCAACTTGACATTGTTGAGCTGAGTTATTTGAGTTGTACTCAGCACCTCTGTGACAGTATTCTGTCACGAAGTATCACAATTTTATTTCAGCATAAGAATCTTCTATGTTACGTTTCGTCAGCTTCATTTCAATTCCTCTATACGTGAGTAACATAAGTGATTTCAGAGTTTCTGAGAAAGACAACAAATAGCTTAGAAAACTTGTATAAATACAGGAGTTTACTTTTTTCTGCCGTCTGACTGCTTCCGATTCTATATTCCAGCTCTAATATATTCACATGTATCAAATACATTTGATGTTGCAACAAAAACCTTCGATTGAGCATGATGAAATAAAATTGTGATCGTTTGATATAACACTAGGCACATACAAAAATAAATCAATGAACAAATATGTACCAGTTTTTGAATGTTTGAAAATTATCTTTCCAAATCTTTCGAATGGAAAACTTTCAAAGAGGAATATTTGAAAGGCTCTCAGATTAGGAAAAGTTTGGAAGATTATCAACCCACCACTGAAAGATATTTTGGCATATTTTCAAAACGATTCTGCAAGATACCGTAAACTATAGGAACATTGAATCATATTCACGAAAAAACTACCATAGTAAACATGTTTCTGAAATATAGGTCCTTCTTCCTGATAACATAGAACATGTTTTTTGTGGAGAATATAATAATGAACGAAAAAAGGCAAAAAAAAGTTATAGTGTCTTATATCGTACCCTTTATAAGTTTAGATATATTGGGATTGGGAATACATTTTCTAACTTTCCATATCTAAAAAAGAAATTTACAAAAAATATTGTGTTGTGTGTGTGGGAGGATTGGCATTGGAGTTATCCTTTTACCACAGAGAACAAAATTGTTTTTTTTTAATGATAAGCCATTGTTTTATTCATGCAACTTCTTGTATAGACGAAGTAAACGGTATTATGCATAATCAAAGGTGTCGGCGCTCTCAAAGGCCAAAAAAAAACAATACATAGAAATGAACCCGCTGCGAACTAGTTCACGTGGACTGAAGAATTGGCGGTTCGTATTGGATCATTTTTACCAACCGGGTTTTATGATTGGCTGAAGAGTCATAAAATTAAATTTGAAGTCATGTTTCGGTGACGAATTGAATGCGAGGATGGTTATAGTCGTCGTGTTATCAATGTTCAGTTCAGGAACTGATCGCGATCTGAGTGTTGAAATTCGATATTGGTGCAGTTATAATTATTTGAAATTTTTGTTATCTGTTTAAAATGTGGCGTCCTTGGACAAGTACTAATAGTTGTAACGAGTGTGATAACAACACAGACTTTTTCCTGTGTAGTGAACGATGGTGAACAATGCAAAAAAGAGATACCAGTAAATAAGATTCGGACGCATTTGAATATTGAAACATAGAGAGTATGTTTCAAGGTATATAAGAATCTACATTTCAAGTTTGATTTCGAGGGAAACAAACTATTACAGGCATGTATGTAATGCTCAGATTTGACCGAAATTCCTTTCTCACCTGTACCTAAAATAGTCAAAACCAAACCTTATGAACGCAAGACGCGGTGTGATATGGGATTACCAAAACCTTTAGATGTTCATCTAATAAAACCATTAAAAAAAATAATACACGACTATTACGAACGCAATGAGATTCCTACAACTGAAATCATGAGGCAGAAATTGAATACTTCCGGCCATAACGTGAGCTGCTATGACAAACCTCTTCAGAATTGGATACAGAATCTGGACTTTAGATTTGAAATAAAAAACGTCAAGCAGTTATGGAAAGCAGAAGAATAGTGAAATTGCGTAACAAATACTTAGAACAGATAACTGAATATAGACAAGTAGGTTGCACTATATCGTTCACTTGAACTATACATAAATTTGAAATGAACTCACCAATATCATTATAGCTTCGATAATAGTCTCTCTGAGCCAAAACGCTTGCAGAGAAAATGGTGATAAAAAGTATGGCTTTGAACATTTTTACTGTATCTATATCTTCCATAAGTTGATTCTGAGGACTTATATATATATATATGAATACAGTGGATAACTTTCTACCTAAAAAACACGTTTTGGGAGATAGCAGAAAAACTGCTATCATTTAACTGAAACTGATATTTTTGCAGTAATAGACATATTAGTAGTGTTTCTGTCATTACTGAAACAATAAACAGAAATAATAGAAATCCTTGCAAAGTTAATAATGACACGTTCCAGTTTTTAGATTTTCAAATTACCTTATTAACAGTACAACACTTCGTAGACCCAGATGATTCATAATTGAGAAACTGCAGCCTAGATCGAGAATTCTAGGATGACTGCAGAGTGTGGCAAATACCTTCTGAGAGAACTCGAAGCTGTTGTCGTAACTGCCACATACGTCTGTGATAGAAAACTCATAGAATTATCACCAAATGAATCTTTTGTAACTTCTTGCGCTCTGCGATTGAGAGACTTCTTGCGTGGGGCTGTCTTGTTAACTTTGAATTTTGGTGTTGGTAGAAATTATTGCAAATTATAGTCGAAGTGAATGATATTGTGCACACTTAAGTTGGCGGCACTCTCAAAGGCCAAAAAATCAATACATGAAAGTGAATCGGCTGCGAACTAGTCCACGTGGTCTGTAGAATTAGCAATTCATATTGGATAATTTTTACTAACCGACTTTTATGATTGAAGAGTCATTAAATTAAATTTAAAGTCATGTTACGGTGACGAATAGAAATCGGGAAATGCGGAAATGGTGATCGCCGTTGTGTCATCAATATTCAGTTCAGGAACTGATCGCGATTTGAATGTTGAAAATTCGATATTGGTGCAGTTATAATTACTTAAGATTTTTTTATCTGTTTAAAATGTGGCGTCATTGGACAAGTACTAATAGTAATAACGAGTATGATAACAACCCAGACTTTTTCCAGTGTAGTGATTCCAATAACAATGGCGAACAATGCGAAAAAGAGATACCAGTGAATAAGATTCGGAGGCATTTGAATATTGAAACACAGAGAGTATGTTTCAATGTATATAAGAATCTACATCTCAAGTTTGGTTTCGAGGGAAACAAACTATTACAAACATCAGATTTGACCGATATTCCTTTCTCAACTCTACGTAATATAGTCAAAAACAAACCTTGTGAACAAAAGACGCGAAGTGATACAGGATTACCAAAACCTTCAGATGTTCATCTGATAAAATCATTGAAAAAAACAATATACGACTGTAACAAAAGCAATGAGATTCTACAACTGAAATCATAAGGAAGAAAGTGAATACTTTCGCCCAAAACGTGAGCTGCTGTGACAAAACTCTTCAGAATTGGATAAGGAAACTAGGATTTACTTGCACTGTTTGAAACCTTTGATGTAGTAATGAATATTATTGGAGTTTTTTCCTAACACCAAATCGTTATTTTTAACACCTCGACACGTGTTTCGATCACCGAGTGATCATCTTCAAAGAGGAAGATTAAAACTAAAAGTTTTAATCTTCCTCTTTGAGTAAGTAGTATTCACAAGTATTTACAATTATCACCCTGTTATTTAAATCCCTACTTTCCCACCCTGAAACACTTCGAATTATGTATTCGAAAAGACACTCTGTGACATAAAAACATCTCCCCTCCTTCACCCCCCTCAACGTGAAAGCCACCTCCCAAATTTTTTTAAATGCAAAAGTAGGTCAAGGGATACGTCATTTTGAAGGGTATTCAATTTTTTGTACAGCCATATCTTTGTTTTTCAATTTCGTGCATGCGTCATAAAGAAACAAAAAATTCAAGGTGTTGAAAGGTATAGCGTAGGTATTCCATTGAATCCGTCTGCTGTACAATATGCCATGCACCTTCAATTTTTTGTTTGTTTTTACCAACCGTTGTCTGTCGGCCTCGACAGTTGAGTAAAAAATTGTATGTTTTCTGTGAACTCGCTGAAGAGAAACAGTTTTGCAGTTGTTGTTTGTATTTCTTGTTCAGTATTACTTTCAGACAATAGGCTAAAAGTTCTAGCAAAGTCTCATTTGACTGAACGTCAAAGAGTGGAAGTGTTAATACTACTAAGATGTGGGGACAAAACTAGAACCCAGAAGAATGTAAGTGAAATGTTCAATAATAAATATCCTGATAATCACATTTCTCAATCTACCGTTTGTAGAATAGAAACGTGAATTTGGGACTGTCAAAGATATTTCAAAACCAGACAGGAGTGTATTGATTGACGATGGGAAGAAATTGGATATTTTGGTAGACATCGAGGAGAATCCACATAAACCTACTCGACAACTTGCCGCCGATTACGACATAAGTCAAAGTTCGATATTGCGTGTTTTCAAAAGTGAAAAGTATCACTCTTATGAAGTACAGTTGGTACATGAACTCAACGAAGACGATCCAGATCGCAGAAATGAGTTTAAGAAAAATATATTGTTTTCCGACGAGTCAACTTTTTCTTAAATGGAACCGTCAACAGACAGAGCTGTCGATATTGGAGCCGAGAAAATCCCCATTGGATGATGGAGGCCCATACTCAATATCCCAGAAAAGTAAATGTTTGGGCAGGGATTATAAATAATCGCATAATTGGACCATATTTTTTTAAACGAAACATCAACCGGTGAACGTTACTTGGAGTTTTTGACAAATTTTTCAGTTCCAACGCTGAAAAGACTTTTTCCAGATAGTGATAATCCGAATCAAATACTGAGGATACACTACAAAAACATAATTTTATCTATTTTCCACGATATTTCTTTATTGTTGGCTAGTTTCGTGGAAAATAGATAAAAGTGTGTTTTGTAGTGTATCCTCAGTGAACATGAATTTCCACAAAATAAACAAGTCGTCAATCAAAGAAGCCGAATCAAATAGATAGAAGTATCTGGTATCAGCAGATACCAGATACCACCACATTTTGTAGCTGAAGTTCGTGCATATCTGAATGAAGTTTTTCCCAACAGATGGATTGATAGACGAGGTGCCATAGAGTGGCCAGTCTGTTCTCCTGACATGACACCGCTTGACTACTTTTTGTGGGGTTACCTAAAGTCCAAAGTATACGTCAATAGACCAAACAATATTGAAAGTTTGCAAATCAGAATTAGAGAAGAAATAGAACGTATCACTCCCGAAACTATTCAAGATGCTGTTGATTACTTTCAACAACGCCTTTATTATTGTCAAGAAACAAATGGCTGTCAGTTTGAACATTTGATCTGAAGACTTCCATTAGTTGCACATTGATTGATATCGCTTTAATAAATGATTAAGATAACACAATTTATTCAATTGTTTTTTTTTTGACGCATGCACGAAATTAAAAAATAAAGATATGGCTGTACAGAAAATTGAATACCCTCCAAAATGAGGTATCACTTGACCCCCTTTTGCATTAAAAAAAATTGGGGGAGCTGTCACGTTGAGGGGGGTGAAGGAGGGGGGATTTTTTATGTCACAGAGTGTCTCTTCGAATACATAATTCGACTTGTTTCAGGGTTTTTCTTGAAAATGGCTAAAAACGTAGAAAATTAATTTATCCGTTACATATGGTGCTCACTGTACATTTGTTTCATTCAATGTGATACTAGCCGCCGTGGCAAAATTTGTACATACTTTACATGAATGTTTTCCTAAACATTTTCCCAAAAGATATCTACAAACATAGCCCAATCCATTGCCTTCGGGAATGGCTAGAGTTCTATAATCATTTGTCTCTACTCTCGAAGGTTTATAGGGATTTTTTTGGACTTCCACAAGAATCTTCACTCTATTTATGTCAGCATCTGTAATATTAGATAGAATCTCAATAGTATCTTCTATACAGTTTGTTCCTCCTGCCTGTGTGAAATACTGAAAAGTAAATGTGTTTTTGAAAGCTCTGGTAACTTGAACACGAGTTGGGTTTCTGGCATTTCCACAAGTATTTCTCTGTTGACCAAAATAATTTTCCACACAGTTCTGGTTTATATTCCTCGTCAAAATGTTGTCCTTCGCTATGTAGGTTTTCTCAAAGTTGCAGAAATGCCGAAATTGTTATCTGCCATCCCACAATGAATCTCATTTGTTCAGTCGTGTTTTTTCCTTTTTTTTGATATTACAGTTAATTTGCTGAGAAATATTTCCATTTCTTTCAGAAAATCAATTTGTTTTGATGTTCGGAAAAAAGGTTTATTGAAATGTTTGACATCGTCAAATCGATATGAATTCAAAATATCAAACATTTTATCCATTTTTTCAATGAATGTAACCGTCCCTATTGCTGCTGATGGTATCTGATTGAAACTGGCATAAGTATTCATCGCTGTATTTACCGAATGACTGAAAACTTGACTTGCTAATTTAACCTTCATCATTTGAAACTTAGTTGAAAATGAATGAGAATCACTAAGTTTGAGTGCTAGTCTATATTGCTTTTCCTTATCTAAGTTGTAAAGTTATCCAAGATGACTCATGTTCGTTGTAAATTCATCAAATTTCAAAAAGTCATCGAAAAAAGTCATACTCCTCATCTGCCACATTTCAGCAGATGAGGAGTATCAAAAAAGTAAAATATTTGTTTCTCATCAACAAAGAAATATGGCACCTCTACAATCACTTTGACATCTCTTCTGGCAAGTGCATATAAACATTAAAACCTAAATCTGAAATGATATCCCTAACTCTTAATCCAATTTTTGATAATTACCTAACAGCTTCAATCAGAATACTTTTTATATCCAGTATTGATGTGGATGAATTGGTAAAAAAGTATTCAACAGTAGGCTCCAAAAAAGGTAATTTGAATATACATTCGATACTTTGGTTTTGCAGAGATTTCAGTGGAAGTAATATTTTTCCTACAGATACGTACTAGCCAAATAAAAAAATGCGGATCAACAATTATTTTCCTTTGTGGATTTCAAGTGGAACTCCGATTGTTTTGTCATTTTATATCATTTTACTTTTGAGGCATATATTATTCGTGAAGTTTAATTTCATCAAATTAATTTCATAAATAAAGTCTGCATATATTTGGTCCATAACAATTTATTTTATGATTTTCGTTATATGTTCATTCCTTCAATCTTACATAATGAATACCAGAAAAACATACATTTTTTCGTCAATTTGAAATCGAACAAAATTAATGCCGACATCACCCAGCAAATTACAGCAACCC